AGGCAATAAGAAAACACGTCGTTTCTGCTTGTTAGGCCTGATAACATGCGTTTATTTGTGATCTTATCTTCTTGACGGTTAAAATGTACCTCATGGACAAAAACTAATTTTAGTTCGCTTTTTCTATATCAACCTAGAATGCTGTTTGTGAATTGACCTTCAGCCACATGAAATTTTTGTGGGCTCCTAATACAAACGATTTGAAGTGCAATATTATTGGTGCATAATTAGGAACTAAATGAATAATCATCTCAGTTATACAAAGTTCTATAATTATCTTTTAAATAATTCAAACCTATTGAAACAAACTCAGTCTTTAGAAAAATATGGCCATGTTCATAGGTGGCGAAATGTTTTGGATTTAGGGTAGGCTCAACAATTTTTTACAAGATTCGCACCAGAAAATTAAAAATATGGAGTAAGCCAATTTTTTTGATGCCATCTTGATGAAACAAAGTTAGTGTTTCTCATTTCGAACTCGTATTTTGTAATGTATGACGCTGATAGAGATAAGAAAAGCACTTGCAACTTATGTGTCAAAAAACGTGCATTTAAGAAAACATGTCGATAATTATCTTCATTGACTTTCAACTCTCGCAAGAATTGTTTTCCATCTGCTTTGCTGAAAAACAAAATAATATCCAAGCAGCAGTGTTCACAAAAACGACACTACATTATCAATGTTTTTACTGTGTTGAAAAGATTGTGTTCTGCAAGAATATTTTTCTATACTCGTCGTTTTCTCGCTCCATTTCTTATGGCAATGAGAGCTCCATTAAGTATTGGTGTTCCCGGATTTTTTCTCGTATTTGCATACATATTCAGATACATGTATGTAACAGCTTTTTATTTTTACGTAACTAACCTACTGTAGCTCCAATCATAATTATATTTTTAATTTGAAGTCGTGTCACGATTATTCTAAAATCTAAAAATAAAACTGGAATATGAATTCCTGAAGTGTTACGATTGGAAGTGTAAATCGTCGAGCTGAGTCGCAGCTGTCGGTGAGACAAAAAAATTAACAGTTTCGAAGATTCTTCAACGCCTGAGATCTCTCTTCAACGATGTTTCTGTCTAGGTTTTTTATCAGTGTGTTCTCTACCATTGTTTTCTCTTTTTTCATCCGATAATTTCTCGGAAATAAGAAAACCTTAAAGAAATCGTCCAACAAATTCACTCGTCTCCGCCGACAAACAAAAAAAGTTGAGTATTTTCAGTCGCTGCTGAAAGAAAAAAAGACACACTTAAACACCGTCGATGTATAGATTGGTTTACGCTTCTGCTCATGAAAGGGAAATAAATTTTTTTTCCGGGAACGAGAGTGTAAGAACAAGAATAACAATTTTTTTCCGAGAAAGAGAATATACGGGCGAGAACAGCAAATTTTTTCTGAGAATAGAAACAATAATCGAGAAAAGTTCCTCTCATAACACTAATGATCGGGCATGTAAACTTACTTGCTAAAAATGATGAAAGTCTTTGGCAGCTACTAGCTGATATGATTTAGGTTTTTTATGCAGTACTTCGTCACTTTTAACAAAATAACCCCAATTTAAATCATGGCTGATCCAAGATTGGACATTTAGCCACACAAAACTAAAAGTTTTCTCAAAAATAGTTTCTAGATCTGTTTCAATAAATGTTACTATTTGTTGCCGATAGCGACAAAAAATCTTGACGTCTGTACAAATTTTTTATGTACTGCACAAACTTATCAATTTGACGTAGTAGAAAACAATTATTTGAGCGTACCATAGTCTATGGAATCTGAACCTAAGATAGGTTTTAGTCTACTCAAGCCGTGTGATTCCATCATCTATGAATAGACGCTATCTAAGCCTTCATTTATTCCATCCACGAGTCTATCTAAGCCTTTAGCTGTCCAACCTAGAGTAGGCTCGAGCATACTCAGGACTTGTGACCCCTTCGTTCATGGTCATGTTACAAAAGTGACATGAACGATATAGTTAATAAATTATTGTTCATGTATGCCTATTTTGTTTAGTTACATATTGATGTCTAAGTATACTTCATTTTCTATTTTGTCGGTATATTTTGATAAACCACTGTGCAATGAGTAGTAAAATAAACTCCACATAATTATGTTTTTTTAAGAATATATATCACTTAGAGGAAATTTTGTCATCAGTAACTTAGTAGAAGAACATAACGAGTGATTAGACGAACGAAAACTTCAGTTTTCTTTGAGAGAAGACCACTAATTCATTTTCTGATTTCAATAAACATCTTCTGATTTTTCTCCTGATTTTTCAGTAAAAATTCCCTGGTAAACTTCTGATTTTTCTCAAAAAACTTCTGATTTTTGAAATTTGGATTTGGCAGCCCTGCTAACCACGTGAAAGTAGAGAAGAGAAACAAGAGCACAGATCAAGAGAATACACACGAACATATATATGTATAGATGTATATACATATAGAGTGACACTGTACAGAGACATATTTGAAGAATCCTTAACACTACCTTATACATGTTTGTTTTTACATTATTAGTAATTTTTTGGGTGAAAAAAGTTTCGGGCCTATCAATAAAAACCTTGTCCATTTCGCCCATTGGCTTTTTTCGACATAGGAGAGTTTGCCCATTGGTCTCAAAGTCCTGGTTACACCGCTATTGGACGTTAGGTTAGGTAGTAAGATTTATGTTTTATTATGAAAGTATATATGGTGTGTGTGCGAGTGAAGACAAGAGCCTCATCTATATCCACACCTTATATCAATTATATCCTTTTCTGTCATTTGCATAATTGTGAGCTAGTTAATTTTTTTATTTTATAAACCGAAGAAAAATCAGAACAATTATCTTATATCACTTGTTACCAATGCTAATATTCAAATCCGCATGGTGAAATTATTGTCGCTGGATGTACAGTCGTGAACAATATTTATAAGGCGTTTTTTATTTCCATACAAAGTTTAGATGAGTGATACCTTTTATGATCATGCTATGTTGTTGCGACTCATGTATTCTAAGTCTATGCAAAAATTATTGAGTAAAGATCACTGCAAACAGAATCGACAAAGTATCAGTGAGTTAAAAAAAAAAGTAATGATTCTCGAAGAGACAGGATATTAGAAGTCATGAGGATCGTCCAAGATGTCTCGAGTTTATTGACACTACTAGAATATTATATTGCATATTTTGCTAGTACATGTATTACTAAGTGTGAAATCAGAACTAAAAAACTTTTTCTAGTCAAGATCGGGATAATAAACGATTGATCCCGCTCATCGGTACTCATTATACTTGAAAATTTAATAGGCTTCATAAAAAAGAAAAATTTCTTTCATCTAATCATTTGAAACCAATCGAGAATGGTTAAATAGTTTATCACTAATTTTCCTCTTTTCTATGAATATATATAATGTTCGAATTATAGCAAATAAAAAATAAAAATAGAAAATATGCATACACATAAGAATTGACTATAATCATTCAGAACAAAACAAAAAAAAAAGAACATATTTTCTATGTGTCAGAAGATCAAATATACTTATTGTCTGATACATAAGAGGTTTTCTTTCTTTGCTTTTTTTTGGTAAATAAAGATAATAGATGCAAAAAAGGGATCACTGTTTGTCAATTATTATTTTTCTTTTCGCTTTATATAGATATTGTCCATGGAATAAAAATAAAAATAAATAAATGAAATAAAGAAAAACAAATTATTGTAATGATGTTTTTATCTCTTCCATGAGGTTAGAAATAAATAAATAAAAATTATTTAGTTTGATTTTTAATAAAAATCTTAAAATAGACATACTATTGATTTAAATAAAAAAGCTATTAGTTGTCCAAGTATTCTTTCAGCATATAAAGATGCAGCTGAATTAATTTTTTCGACAACTAAATTAAGAATTTGGACATAAAAAAAAATTTCAATTTTGTTTTCTAACCAGTTAATCAATAAAATTGACAAATTTTATCAATTATCGATAGAAAATCTTGATTAGATGATGGAATACGAAGTTGTGATTGACAGGTCAATGTACCCAAACTCATCAAATCAGTGAATACCATACCTTTTAAAATAATATGCATTCGTGTTAAATAACCTAATAAAAAAAACTTATTCTTGCGAATCAATAGTCTTTCGTCGTAAATATCGTGAACAAGGTAAATTAAGTTTAAATTCAATTCGATCTGTTTCAATTATATTTAATTTCTAAATATATTTGTCAAAAATGAAGATAAAAACTATTTTTTTTATTTGTTCAACATACATTTATAGAATAAGTTAATGTTGTTTTTAATTTCTGAGAAAATGATATAGCATTTATTGAAAAAAATAAATATGAATATAATTTTGTGAATGAGGAAAAAGACGTATAGATGGAAATGATATTAAATTTGCAGTTGTTGTATTTAATAATTTCGAACTCATACTATCAATAACATGAATATTAATATGATCAATAATAAATGATGTTCAATTTTTAAAAAGAAATATTACATCAACTCGAGCTGTTAATGAATCTGGATTAATCAAATATTCCTAAAAATAAATTTATAACAGATTGTTTAAATACATATTCGAATGATTTCAATGGTAAAAAAAGTAATATCTTCAACGTTGGTGTGAGTTATGGATGGACAAAGTTGACTTTTTTTTGGGATTCGAATCTGAATAGATCTTTTTTGTTTGCATAATAGTCATTTTAGTGAATTTCTCTTCAAATCACCTTCAAAATCAAGTTCTTGATAGAATTAATTCATTGTGTAAGTGTCAGAAACTTCCGAATATCTTCTATCCTGAGACATCAATATTGAAAATTCTGTTACGAAGACAAGTAAACTTCATCTTTTTATATCTCAAGATCGTGGATATTAGAAGCACTGATACTTTTATTCGAAGGTCAATTTTAAAGATGATCGGATGAAGATTTCCTCTAATCTCAATAGAGTCTATCTGATAAGATAACACTCATGTCAAAAGCATTTTATCACTTAGCCACGTTTCCTCATCTATTGTTAAACTAGGATAATTATTGAACTTACAATTGTCGAATTGTCAGATTGATTTGTTGGATGAATATCATCCATCATAATGTTCAATAGGAGTGGCACAGAAGTATTTGTAAATACTATTGTTGTTGTTTCTGATGATGATTTTTTTACTTTGGTTTTCTCTGCAGTAGTAGGAGGAGGAGGAGAAGGTGTAGAAGAAGTTGGACGATTTTCTTCTTCATCAGCTAGTGATAATAATTCTTTATCATCATTACGTTCTCGGTTGCATTTAGATTTCGATATTGATGATTGTTCTTGTTTTTCAATTATTTTCTTTTTCTTAAATTTTTTTTTGGCTTTTCAGTTAATATAGGAGGTGTTTCAACTTGTTTAGGAACTGGTTCTTTTAACTGAGATGTCAATGGTGATGGTGTAGGAATCGATTGAATAGGTTTTTCATTTAAGTCAATATTAAGTGCTCGATATGGATCATATTTTTTATTTTTTTTCAACACGCACATCATTATCATTATCTTTATTTTCACTTTCTGTAGCATTTTCTGGTAATTCACCACCAAGTGTTACTTTAACAGCTGGATAAATATCATCATCATTATCATGAATTACTTTTACATCAATTTTCGATTTTTTTCTTTAAACGTCAATTTTCTTCATCAATTTTTGCTTGACGATATAATTGATCAGATCGTGTTAATTGTGAACTAGTAGTATTTGTTCCTGGTGATAATGTTAATTCAATACAATCATTACCATTTATAGTATCCGAAGTTGTTTCAGTCTATAATATTAAAGATAAATTCAAGAATTGAACTTGACTATTTGCATTCTATAGAATCAAATGAGCTAAGAATATCTGGGTGTGGGTGTGGGTGTGGGTGTGGGTGTGGGTGTGG